ATCTTGTTCTCCTTAGTGAGCCAATACTCTTTCACCATTTTCTATGGTTCCTCAGCCTTTGTGTAGCAACTCAAAAATTCACTTTTCTGGAGGTGAAGGACATGAAAACACTCATCTATGTGATAATTAGACTCCATACTAGCGTGACTGATGAAAGTGATCAATGATGTCTAGGGACCACCTAAACCAGTAAGACAAATAATTTCTGATTAAGCAACAAGGCATTCTGCATGCAGTTTTGACTATTTATGTTGAAGAGCAGCCCTCTGCGAGTTGCAAAATATCTCTGCTGTTAATCCAGCATAATCAAGTGCTGAAGCAGACTGTGTTGTGCTACATGGCATTACAGCTAGAATTTATAATACGTTCCTAATTCCTTTCGCTTTCAAGAGTAATGTCAGGTTTTTTGGTTTGGGGTTTTTTTGCGTGTTGTTCTTTTAAAGAGGATCTCTGACATGAGGCGGGCTATCCTAGGACCCTTACATTTTTTTAAGTCAGAAAGATTAAAAGCTTTGGAAAGCACACCATAGGTTGTGCTTCAATTCTTCAGGCATCTGTTCTCAAGGGCTGATATATCTTGCCATATATCAGGGCAGTTCCAGAGATAAAGGGACATTCAGCAAAGCCTACAATTTCAGAAATCCTACTGCCAGCTGCAGAAATTAGAAACAGTTTCTTTCACTGGGAATTAGTGAAAATGCAGAAATGGTACATTTAAGAGTATGCATCCATCATAGGATGTTTAATCTACCGGATAAATAAAGATAGACTCTCATCCAACAAAATATCAGTCTAAGAGTTTTATTCCAGTAGCTTTGTCTACAAAAATTGCTTTTAATCACAGTGGCTTTATCCTTTAAGCAGAAGGCTGTGGTATGGCTTCTTGAAGTTCAGGAGCCTGATTTTGCCTCTGCATTATTCCAGTTATTCCTAAGCAGGTACAGGAGCAATAGGCTGTATTTTTGTTGGAATGCTATTATAATTTGCTGTACGATGGGGGAAGGAGCATGTGTTGCTTTGTGCCATGGGTGGGAATGTCATAATGCTGTAATTTCCCTTTCAACATTTTACCAAACTTTTGCTTGAAGAGAAAGCAGTCAGATACACCCTATACACTTACTATATAACATACCTTATTTGGCCCTGGTTTAGAATTACCACCTTTCTGTGATGGCTGTAATGCTTTTTAGCATTGCCTCCCACTGAGGTGGGGGTGTCAGTAGAAATTTTGTAGTAGGTGCACACTCATGCACATAGCTCAACAGAGGGCTAGGAGAACAGTGTCATGCAAGCCTCTTATTTATTATAGAATTTTTCATTATTAAGATAACACTAGCGTGACAAGATTATTTAGCTATTCTGTTCTTTATTAGTCCCTAAGAATCCTTGTCCATTTGAACACCTGTGACAGCCTTCCATGGGGATTTTGCTGGCCATCTGTGAGCGCTCAGAGAGGAGCTTTACCATAGCCTAAATTGCTCATGACTTGTACAAGAGTGTTCTCTCAAACTTCCGTGTTTTTATGCCACTGCTGCATGTCACTGCTACGACAGAACAACACAGAAAGACGACAGCAAGCTAAATAAGGTTTGGTGGGAAGGGGGCCCAGCACCCCCAAGGTAGGAGCCACCACTTCGATCAATGGTGATAACTTCAACCAGTGGTATTTTAATTTTCATGCTATAGAGCACCTATTGCTAATATGTGCAAATGGGTTTTGTTCCCGAAGCAGGAGGAACCTTAAAAGTGTTTACTCCTGGATATTATTGTGCAAGGAAGGGTAGCATCGAAATGTTTATACAGGGGGGAAATTAGATCCTGTACAGCCAAATGTCCTATGCTTACAATTGCAAATCCAAACTTGGGAGCAGACAAGGTTGTTATTTTCCCTGTGACCCAATTTAAAAATACTAACGGGTAGTTTTTTATAAGATTTTAACTTAGTTAAAACCTTTTAGTTACATTTTAGCATGGAATGTTACAATGATATAATTATGCACCACAGTTTGGACCAAAAGTAAGAAATCAATGTACATAACAAGACAACAAGGACATGGAACGAGTTCACCTGACATGGTTTCAGTTAAGTCTACTGCTTCTCTTAGCACGTGTATTTATTACATGCTGGGTGGTGCTTTGGCAGTTATTACTGGATGCTACTTTCTAAAGTTAATCACAGAAGCGTCTCTCTAACCAACCTAAATCATACTAGCTTGTCTGTTGCAGCAATGAATACTGGTCCTAATGAGCAGTGTGTGGTATGACAAACTGCACAATTTCTTTTATGTCTCCAAGGAAGAGTATGAGGTTTCACACAGGAATCAGCTGGTTGATTGCCACAAATATTTCCATTAAACTTTTCAAAGGCTTCAGCACTGCTTACTGGGAAAAAGAAAAAAGAATCCAGTTTAGAGGAGGCAACAATACATGATATTTAGCAATAGACTTGATTCATCAGGTCTTTTTCTTTGCAAACATTCAAAGCACACTGTCAATTTGACTGCAGGTTATCAGTTAAGTGAATTACAGCATATAAACACAACTGCTGTGTAAATCATGCTTATCTGATGGCTTGTGAAAACTTGCTCTGCTGCCACCAACAAAGCCCAATTTCAAGGAATCCTTCATCTTCAGCCGTGTTGCTCAGGTGTAAATGAATTCCCCTGCATGCTGGCCACATTCACTAAGCCTTACTTCTACAAATAGCTACTTGCTTAACTTTAACCATGAGGTGAACCAGTTGTGTTTGCTGTGGTTACTGATAGAAGCAGCTTCACAGCAGTGTGAATTTGGGGCCAACAGCCACACACAGAAGAATTGCTGTGCTCTGGAAAGAAAGGGGAATAATAGTATATTCTTACCCAGGCATGCTCTCGAGCCTCAATTCAAGGCTTCATCTGAGAATTTCATCCATTACTACTACTTCTATCCCTCCAATTAGTGCTTTTTAACAAAGTGAACTGGATACTAATTTGATTGTCACGTCAACATTCTTTTGAATTTGTTTTTTTTTTTTTGCTTTTGCTTTGAATTCCCCCAGAAGTATGATTTGTTTTAATGCAAACGGAAAGTTAAGGTCTGTACTCTAAAGAGCTTAGAATCAAAACATACACTAAAAAAATAAATAAATTTGTTCTTTCCTAACTGGGAATGCATTGTAGCTCTTGACTTGTAAATTGGAAAAAGTCAGCCTGGCTTTCAATCCAGTGACAATCTTCCAGCACTATGTAGTAAATATTTGATAAACATTTCATTTTTTTTTTTCCCCAGCAAGATTGAATCGGAATGTAGTAAGAGACGCTTTTTGTAGCCTTTTGATGCTATATTCATAAAAATCCTTTTTTTTTGTCAAAAAGAGCCCAAGCAGTTTAAGCAGAATTCAGTGGATGCATATTCTGGTAGCAGATTAATCAATTTGTCACCTATTTTCAATTTGTTCCATTTTCAATTTTTTCCACTCCCACCCCTTTCAGTTACCGTCTCTGCCTTCATTAGTTGAATTGGATATATTAGGTATTTGTTGTCTAAATCAAAATCTGGAATAAAAACGCAACAATTTTAGGCTTGCAAGATGTTTACAGAGAAAAAGAGAGATTCCTAATTCTATTGCTTTCTCTATATCACTGCATTTATGTGCCCCAGGGTGGAGAGAATTTCTTGGCAACTTGTTTTTCTGGTGTGATATTCTCAGATGCCCGTAGCTGTCACTTTGAGCAAAAATAACAGCTTTGAGAGACACACTCTTGGAACTTTTCTGCACATCTCACCCACATTCATTAAATATCTGTTCCACTTTACACCATTATTCCCAGTAAAACACAAAAATTCTTTTTGGTAGAGGAACATATCTTATACTAGCATTTTGTAAATTATTTTATAATTGTAGGATTGGCTTGGCTTTGCCTTTTTTTTTTTTTTTTTTTTTTAGTTTTGAATGCTAAAACAACATGAAAAAAGACCATGCCATTTAAGAACAATATTTACCTTTTATGACAAGAAGATAAGCGGTATTATCATATTTTATATTGCAGTGGATGATGGAATAATTAAACATGCATTTGCAAAGGACTCAGAACATAACCGTAAGGTTGTATAAGTGTATTTAGGACATACATTTTGAGGATACAATGAAAAATAACTAACTTTGCTCTGTTTCCTTTTCCATTTGCACTGCTGCTCCAAGAATTATTGTATGAATTGTTAACTAGCAGCAAGTAATTTTGAGAATTCCTGACCTGAGAGGTTTATTTGCTTAACTTTCAGTTGTTTCTATTCTAGTTAATATCTCATCTACCAAGATTCATGTTCATATTTCAACCACATTTTTTATTCCTTCAGCTTTCTATCACCATCCTGCAGTCCATTTTGGAAAGGGGAGTCACAGGAATATCAAAACAGTAAGAGTGTTGTGGACAAAGTTTTTTATTCTAGAAAGTAATAAAGCCAACTGAGCAAGATACTAGCAAAATTATAAGAATATTATATTAAATATTTTTCATTAGCACAAACTAAAAGTGCACAGACACTAATTGTGAGAAAATGTCTTTAAAAAAAATGTTGCAGAAGGTTACAACTTCACCACATTTACACTGAGGATAAGAAGAGTTCACTTGTATAGGGCAATAACGGGCAAGTCCAGTATCTATATAATTTAAGACAATGTCCAAAGAACACCTTTTGCCTAGAAGCAAGCTACAACTCTTGGGCCTTTATCCAGTTTGCAAGGAACTAAGATAAACCCATAAATAAATACACAGCGTGACAACTGATACAGAAAAGTTGTGCTCTCTAGCCTCTAAAACATGCCAGCAATGGTTCCCAAACAATAAGAAATGCTGCAGTTAATTTTTTTTTTCCCCAGTGTTCTTGTTGGGAGCAGAAATAAAAATTCACCATCAGAGTGCATGTGCAGACTTACCACATGCTGCAATTGCCACTAACTGAGAAAAAAAGAAAGGTGAAGAGCAGGAAACCACATGCTGCATTTATACTGTGTACCTTTAGGGTTCCTTAGCAACTTCTTCAGGTGCCTTCTCCTCCACGGAAGCTAAAAATGGAGACAAAACACCAATGAGAAACATCAGAAACAACGTATTCGATGACAAATAGTCGATACCATTTACAAAGTCATATTAGCTACACAGACATGTTTCCTTTTAGCTTTTTAATTCTAATTGTAAAAGAGTTTAGAGGCCAAACTTCTAAACTCCTTTGAAAATCTCCGCAGTGATGAACATAACACACATTTTTCTTTGCATTCAATTGTATCGTTCAACTTCAATAGCAATATAAGATGATTTATAGCTTCATTAAAATGCTGTAAGGTTTATAAATATCACATGCTCTATATTTTTCTTTACAGCAATGTAATTTAAGAAAATTCTATCTTTCAAATCAAGTCAGGTGTTAAAAAAAAAGTTGTTACATTATACAAAGCACAAGCGAGAATTTCTTGTTCTTAATGAACTTTACATCTAGCCGCTTAGCAGGGCACTGAGGTCAAAACACCCCTGCGATCCAATTTAGCAATACCTATTTCTACTGCATGGCATATAATTTCAAAATTAAATTTTCTGCTAACACTATGATGCCAAACACAGTCATTGCTGGTAGCCACATTGCATCACTCGAGTTCTGCATGCTCTTGCAGCTAGTTCAGTGCAAACAGCCATTAGCGCTTTTCAGAGACAAAACATTTCAGACCCAGCTGTACTCTTGCACCTTCTGAAGTTTGCCCCGACTCCTCAGCATCAACGTCCTGGCTCCTTGAGGATGTGTCAGAAGTCTCTTGAGCTGCTGAGGCTACTTCTTCCTTGACACTGTCTAAGTGTTCCTCATGGGCAGAAGAAGCTGCAATATCCAAGACTTCACTCACAGTTTCTATGAATCAAATTAGAGAGATAATTGTCTTTCCATTCACTGGCACAAATGAGGGTGAGCAGTCAAGGCTCACAAAGCATGAGGTACCTGCCTAACATACATCTTTGAAGTAACTGAAAGCAAAAGGATCTATCGGATGATTAAATTTTATCATGCAAATAAAAGTCTGCAAGTGGAATTATAGAAGACTATAAGCTATAAAGAGCACTTTTCACGTCTTTAGACAAAGGTATTGTATATATGTATACATATTCTCCCAGGTATATATTCTCTTACAGCTACCCTCATTTTATTTTCTGATTTCTGTCAATTTATTGATTATGTGTAAGACACTAATGGTAAAGTTTCTATGGAAATAATCCTAGTCTGATCAGCACCACAGGACATTACACATATACTCCATATATCCTTGCAAAGATGTCACAGGTAGTTTTAATGTAGAAATGTCCTGACATCAGTCTGAAGGGTTGGGCTGCAATTCCAGTGTAGCATGATTGCCAACTAGCCATTTTTCAATACTCCTTGAGGATAAAACAATCTGTAGAAAAAGTCTGTAATATGTCTATTTATTAATATGTCTATATACAGATACACTCTTCAGGGAGACTGAGCACATCATCCAGCATGTTACATGTTAAATTTTACTTGACTAAATTCTGTCTTACCATATTCTTCTAAACTTTCTGTTGGAGGTCTCCATCACCACACACCTTAACTGCTCGGCAGGATAAGGTTTGCAGGGACTTTGATGTTACAAATTGTGTCCTATATTAAGATATATGTATATTAAATACAACTAACTAAACAGCTTCATTAGAAGTTCAATAAATGCAGTAAATGGGAGTTTTGTAGGGCTCTCATCCCATGCCTTTTTCCAAATATCTGCTTGCAGGTATTTAAATACAGCATATTCTGAACGACAACTATTTCATGTTATTTTGCAAAATACCGACTGAATTTTGAAGAAGAAACAGGAAAAAAAAAAATCAGGAATTACTGCCTTCGTCTCTATAGGGATCAGCAATGTTATAAAAATACTACATTTGAAATTCAGAACATTAGATACTTTATAGCTAGCATCACTTAATGTAATGCAATATATCTGCTATGGTAACCAGCTGCTGGTTTTGAGTTTGCAACATCAAACACTGTTTATATTACCAAAAACTTGCTCGCTGACTTACAGTATTTTCCTAATTTTTCTTCATTTCTTGGGATGTTTCAGTGTTTTAATTTCTTTCACATTAAGAAGAGTAGGTCAGTAAGCAAGTAGGGGGAACAACATGGACTGTCCTGCTTTTTAATAAAACCTCACTTCCTTTGAATGGAAATTGTGTTTATTTGTCACCTATAGGAATACCTGCCTTGAAAACAAACATTAACACTTTATACCACTTGTACTGAACGATTTGTCTCCGGTCTGAAGTATTCTTTGTGGCTATCAGAAAGGCAGTCTACTGCAACAAAATATGGATTCCTCACAACGTGTCCATCCATGTCTCTACGGAGTAGCTGTCACTCCCTAAAATACAAAGGGCCTTGTTGCAACAGGCATCGTATTTTTTAAAACCTATGTCTGTACATGTGAGTAATCGTCCTTGGCCTGCAGAAAACTCTATCTGGTACTTTCATTTCACAGAAATTCAAACGGCTTTCATGTCTGTTCCTTGAGCACACGCAGCTAGAGTTTCGTAGGAGCCGCCTTCCTGGTGCCACAGCTGAAGCACTCTTTTCGAGGGGAGAAAGCTGGCAGTAGCTGGTGGCTTACAGCAGCACCCACCGGGTCCTCCCTCACATCCATGCCTTAGGGCGTCATCTCCAGCAAAGGTTCAGACTGGCCCGTGAAGACCATTTTGGCATCATTTCTTTGGCCTATTGTAACTACAGCAAGCTATCTAAGCGTCTTCTGGTGCTCTGAGCACCATGAAAATAAGAACTGGTCCATAACCATGAAAGCTATTTAGGCATTAATCTGACATACAGAAACAAATCTCAGCGTATTTTTTGGTGGTTTGTTCACAGCTCCATCTTGGAACACACGCTCTGTATCCCGTTGGCAAGGTCAATGCGTTTTTCTCTGTCCTAGGGAATTGCTGTGATCCCAGGCAACACCAGATGAATGACAACCTGGCAAGCCGAGAACAAGCCCCCCACCTCTTTCAGAATCGGGACTGCCACACAGCCCCTCCTCTGTGGGGAATGCCAGACATACTGCCCAGGTCCCTCACATCCCCTCCTGCTGATCAGCTGGGAGCACAAAGCATTACAAAGGCTAGGAACTTCTCGTTTTGTTTCCCTGAATGTTAAATTTCATCTCAGTGCTATTGTGTCCCCCTCACCCTTTTTTTTTTATCTGCATGCATTCTTTTTTTTTTTTGTCCAGCTTAATCTCTCACAGCTGTTCCATGTAAAATCCTGCAGTAACATCCTATTTCATAAAAGATATTTTAATCTATGTCCAGTACAATGATGACTCATTTTCCATAATCCTTGGAAGAAGGATTTAATTCTCTATATGTTCAATTATTGCAGAGTTGTTAAAAAGTCTGTTGTGAAACTCCACAGCAATTAATAGACGTAATTGAAATAGCTTCTAACTTCTGTTATTTCAAAAACTAAAACATTTAAGCTCCTTTATTTTTTCAAAATAGAGTTGTAGAGGAGTTACAGCATCTTAACTGGTTCTGTGTTGTTTTCTGAATAGATCTGTTTGAAATTCTGAAGTCCCCATATTTCCTTGTGCAGCAATGACTACGACCTATTTTGTCTATTTATGCCAACTTTCTTACAATTTCTACAAGCTTCAACTGAAGAAAATAATCTGCATTGTGCAACTGCTTCTTTATTATCAGCTGCTTTATTATCAATGTCACACAATACTACTTCAGCTCCTTAATATCTTCAGCAAAAGACCCACTTGCAGCATTCCAGTCAAATTGGTCTCAATCAAATTATGACTCACCCTGACCCCTACACTTTAAAATCTGCTAAAAATGGGAACGTTCTTGATTTTTTTAGGTTCTTCTTATAATCACGAAAGTGGGGTTGTTTGGGTTTTCTATTTTCTTAATTCTGTAGGAGAGGACGACCCACATCATTCATCAATAGCACTGCTGAAGTTAAATGGTTTCATAATTTTACTGTTTCATTGGGTGTTTGGTGTGTCATGTCCCCTCTCCCCCCTCAATCTTAGTAGGATGTATTACTCTACAGCACTACACAGTTTCATACAAGGTGCTGGTAGCAAAATCTCAGCCTTTGCATATAATAATAGCTATTTTTTCCTGAAAAAGTGATTTTTTTTCTTTTGCTCATGCTTCTTCACCAAGCATTTGTCAAGATTAAGTTTCCCCTTGGGATAAGTAGCTATATGTCAGTACCAGCGGCTAGAGTTTCTTCAATTTTTCTAGGCATTTGTATATACCACTGCACTTACAGATCTGAATTAGGAGCTTAACTTCCTTGTGCTTTCAACAAAAGATATAACAATGTCAAGCCTCAGAGAAATCAAACTAACCATGTTTACTAACTGTAGGCAAGTGGTTAGCCTTTGCATATTGCATTAACAGCTGTTCTGAAAGCATTCAAAGGGATTTTAACATACTCGGGATTTTGAGGACAAACATCCTCAGGCTAGTTAGTTCCCCGGCATATCTCCGCTACGCAACCATAACTCAGCATCTTTGTAACATACATTGCTTAAGTTTAACAATGAACCCTAACAAAAATATCACCTCCTCCTGCCCAGGACAGTTATATGCACTCTCAAGTGGTCTTTAGCTCCTCTGCTTTAAGAGATAATCGTTCTGAGAAGAAGTATGGCCTTCCAAATTGCACATGCAGGAACAGAACATGACTGGGCAAGCACCAGCAGCACGTTACGTATGCGCCAAACACAGCAACAAACCACTTACGTTATGAAAACACATCTGGCCTGAGTTGAGTAAATACAGAAACGGAAATTGATTTTACAGACAAAAGGAAATTAAGTTTTTGTTTTCAAACTTTTTTTTGTTAAATAAGGCAGCAGCAGAAAAAGCTGCTTCCCGTATAAAGTAGCTATTCCTGCAGTCTTTAAAGGCCCAATTTTTACTCTTACAAGTGCTAAAGTTGCAGCACTGGAAGCACAGGACTCTACATTTCTGTGCATTCACAGTAGAACAGAAAACAAATCCAGGGCACTTCTGCATCCTCATGATTGTCAACGGAATTGTGTGAGTATTAGCGAGCTCAGCATTCCCCCAGCAGAACAGAGAAGCGTGGTAAGCAGGGACCTGCATGCCTGTCAGGTGACTGACTCATCTTTGCTCCAGCTAGTAATAAAAAATTAAAAAAACCTTCACACAGATCGCCTTTCTCCTGCTAATAATAAAAAAAAAAAAAACCAACACAAAACCAACACAAAACCCCATGCACGGGGACTGACTTTTAGAACCCAGATCCTACTGCTCGCATGGCCTCTTCCCCCAAAGCTTTCAAGCATTTAAAACAAGCTTTCCAACTTTCCTGAGGGAGTTTTTATGCAGATTCAGCTCGGATTTTTGTCTGGGACACAAAGCTCCAGCCTGAAATTAAACAGGCTCACGCTGGCAGTCATGTCCCACCACCTGGGAAACAGTACGCTATAGGCTGAACTTGAAGCACGCAGGTGAAAGGGAGGTATGGAGCCGACAGAGTTGGCACTGACCTTGATAAGTGGAATGTGAAATCTGTCGAGAACTTAGCTCTTGCAAGAATTTTTGTAGAAGATACTCTTTCTGATAGCATTTCTACAGGACATATATTGTCAGGCTTTAGCGTTCAGTGTTCATAAAGCTGGATTTTCCAAGCTGTGTTTCATGCCACACACCATGTGTAAAAACTAACAAACCAATTGTCCAATACATACGTATTATTTCATACCTCAGCTTTCATTGACAATTCCTGAAGAAAGCAATAGGATATATGAATAGGATATATACGATCAAGGAGAAGAAGTCGTCAACTAATTTTTTCTTTTC